TTTTCCTCGTTCCGATCGCCTAATCAATTTTTCGCACACCGAATGGATTAAAGCGATTTAAACATTTTACACTTTAATTCGCGGCGCGATCGCGCTGTTCTCGCTAAGCTATCGATAGATAGCTGAAGCCGAGTCAGTTTCAACCCGTCGAAGGCAGACCATTTAACATTTATTTATTTTGCGACGATTCTTTTTCTTCCACGTATTACGATTCTACATTTATTCGTCAAATTTGTTATCCAATGCTTCTTCTCTTTTCTCCTTTTGTTCGCAGAGCTAATTGTTTCAACAAGGTTCGTCGTTTCTCTCGCGAATTATGCCGATTACGCGCCTCGCCCAATAAAATTGAAATTACACAATCGGTCGTAACGGAATTGCTATCGCAGGCAATTACCGATTACCGCGAGGCGCATTAAAGCGCAATTTATTGTTCGTTAAGATTCTCATTAGAACGTTCGCAGCGCCGGCCAGAGACGTCCGCGATCGAAAACCACCCTCGGGCAGATTAATGCCGATTATAGAATGCGTTCACGGTCACGAGGAATGATTACCTTGCTGCGAAATCACTGCGATCGAGCACAGCCTAGCCGTTACATTACGCTAAGAGCAGTCCGGCTGATCGATATTGCGAGAGCCCGGCTGTTCCGAGTTCCGAGCACCAGAGGTTGTTCCGCTCGCCTTTTCACACCTCCGCTCATGGTCCCGCGACAACGGTGCCCGGCTCGGTTGATTAACAACAACTAACGACCCTGCACTTTCTCCGATTCCAGTGTTTCCCCCACCGTGCCCCGAATCGACGGACGAACGCGGTCGTTCCGCGGCAGAGATCGAATAACTAATTGCACCAATGAAACGTTCTTTCGCCCTCGCGCGATCGCAACGATCCATCGATGGGGCCATTTTCGGGACAATCGTGGTCCCGATCGGGGACTAAAAGACAGACGGCGCTTCGACCGAGAAATAGCTAATTGGGAACAAATAGTTTCTGGTTTCGCAGAGCTTTCGAAATGAATTGCTAATGGTCCTGATTCGGCAGAGATTATCGGGGGTCCATTACGCTTCCATTTGGGCGTCACGCGAGGCAGACGATGTTTCAATCGAGAATCAAGCACCATGTCGACCAAGACTCGCGTCGAAACTCGAGGCAAGATTTGTAAAAATAGTCGCTGAACGCGATTTACGTGGAAACCGAGTCTCGATGATCGCTTAATAATCCTCGCTTAATAAATCCTTAGTAATTACGGAGAATCGATCGAAGTGCCAGAAAAATACGAGCACGCGCAACGACGACGAATTAGAGAGGTCCACGAGTGCCGTAAACGCGGCTCGCCGTCGCTCGGATAATTATTAGCGGACGAGCGCAAATGCAAAATTTCTTGGGTCCGAAAGTTGCATTTTCCGGGGCCGATAGCCATTCCCTGTCACCGAGTCGGCCGTAACGTTCTGTACAGGCTTTCGCCGGACGTCGGAGGTAGCAATCGTGACACCGCCCACGCGGACGTGTCAGGTGCAATGCGGTTTAATAGTTCAAAGGCGGCCGTAAACGCGGCGACCTCCGCAAAGCGTCCGGGAGCGGAATAGAACGCGCCGGAGTAACGTAAATCAGAGGGAAACGTTTATGGGCCTGCTAAATTTTCGCCGGGTGCCATTTGACCGTCGTCGGTAGTTTGTAATTTTCCAAGGGAGGCCGACGGTACACGACCACGACGATCAACGACGACGAGGCACCGTTTTTTTCTTTTTCCCGGGAAAAACGGAGTCGCGTGATCCGCGCGTAGATACGCGACGACCCGCCTCGCGATTAAACTTTTATGGGAGCTTTGTGTCGCGGAGCTATGTACCCGGCCGATCATGTTTGCCCCCGGCTCGGACGTAAACCGGCGGTGTCTCGTTTCGGAATCGATATGCGAGCACCAGTCGAACCCTAACTTACGCCCGCTGCTTCGGCCGGCCGACCAATCGATAGCCGTCTTAAACTTCAGCGACGGCTAAAACGGTTCTAGACGCTCCTGAAAAATTCCTCGGGAACGATAGTCTCTTTCGGCTCTGCTGTACAGTAATGTCTCCCTTACCGACGGCCAGATTGTCCACTAAAATGGATAATTTGGGAAGAGAAGATGCAATTTTTAGAGCTTCGCACCTCGTTTATTATAGTCACCGATTGTCGACAGCTCTAAAAACGAGCCGCAAAGCTCGAACAATCGCATCTCCTCTTCCCAAATCGTCCATTCCTGTGCACAACCTGAGCGTCAGTAAGGGAGACATTACTATATATAACTTTTATACCGTAGAAATTTCGATTCAAGAAAGTCCTTCCCGCTTGTTTCTGCCCTTAATCGCGATCGTCGGTGTGCCGATGGATCACCAAGAACAACCCGATACGCCTATGACGAAATAATATCCGTAGGCAAAGCGAAGGCGTGGTATCGCGTTTCTGCTGTTAGGCTCGCACTTTGAGGCAAGAAACGGAAATACGAGCCGGTGTAAACGTTAAGTGGCTCGGAACTACGAAATTAGCACTTGATCTAGCATTCGAATCCGAAAGCCGGAGCGGCAGCCNCTCGACGGACACGCTTTTTCAGCCTAATTGGCCAAAGATCTCTAACGAAACCACGCCGCGCGGCTCGATTTCATCATCGCGGCTCTTTCCCAATTTAAATTCCGCCGAGAACGATCGAATTTCGTTCCACGAAAACGACCATGCCTATTCTCCTGGACCGATAAAACTCTTGCTCCACATTTACTATAATTTGCTATAGAGGCGCTCGCAGGCGCTCGCAAGAGATCGTTCCAAGACCGAGGAGAAAGGTCTGGGAAAAGCGGTCGAGTGCGGCGGCCGACGCGCGCCGCGGCGTTTTATTTCGCGGTCGTTTCTCGCGGATCAGGAAAAACGCATAACCCGATACGAACGATGCGTATCTCTCTCGCTGGCAGTCTAGCGGTGAACGTCGATCGGCCACGCACGCGATATCACGTGTCGGTCCCCCAGGTTCAATGACGACGACCGCGACGATTGGCCGAGGCCACGAACGTCGCCATTCGACGGCGAATCGAGAGAAAGAGAGAGACCAACTCTGTTTCCTTTCTGCCGGCAGGTGTGAATCCGTTGCATGTCACGCCGCTGCCGGCAGGTACCTGTGCTTATTGCTGTCCCATCAACGTCGACAGCGATATCGAGTATCAGCTGTACACCAGGTACGTCGAGCGACATCGATCGANAGATACGCGACGACCCGCCTCGCGATTAAACTTTTATGGGAGCTTTGTGTCGCGGAGCTATGTACCCGGCCGATCATGTTTGCCCCCGGCTCGGACGTAAACCGGCGGTGTCTCGTTTCGGAATCGATATGCGAGCACCAGTCGAACCCTAACTTACGCCCGCTGCTTCGGCCGGCCGACCAATCGATAGCCGTCTTAAACTTCAGCGACGGCTAAAACGGTTCTAGACGCTCCTGAAAAATTCCTCGGGAACGATAGTCTCTTTCGGCTCTGCTGTACAGTAATGTCTCCCTTACCGACGGCCAGATTGTCCACTAAAATGGATAATTTGGGAAGAGAAGATGCAATTTTTAGAGCTTCGCACCTCGTTTATTATAGTTACCGATCGTCGACAGCTATAAAATCGAGCTGCAAGGCTCGAACAATCGTATCTCCTCTTCCCAAATTGTCCATTTTTGTGCGCGATCTGGGCGTCAATTCTAAATCGCGCGATACAAATGCTCGAAGAATGTCCAATACTTTGGTAAAAAAATAGAAGAAATGTTAATGTCAGTGCCATTTTGTGCCAATGTCTTGTCTTCCTAATCTTATTAAATCCTTCACAGTTTTCGAAAGTCGTTCCAGAACCGTTCAAAACGAGTCCCCATTGAATTCAACAATCGTTTCAAATTCATCCGAAGAAATCGCTCGACGGACACGCTTTTTCAGCCTAATTGGCCAAAGATCTCTAACGAAACCACGCCGCGCGGCTCGATTTCATCATCGCGGCTCTTTCCCAATTTAAATTCCGCCGAGAACGATCGAATTTCGTTCCACGAAAACGACCATGCCTATTCTCCTGGACCGATAAAACTCTTGCTCCACATTTACTATAATTTGCTATAGAGGCGCTCGCAGGCGCTCGCAAGAGATCGTTCCAAGACCGAGGAGAAAGGTCTGGGAAAAGCGGTCGAGTGCGGCGGCCGACGCGCGCCGCGGCGTTTTATTTCGCGGTCGTTTCTCGCGGATCAGGAAAAACGCATAACCCGATACGAACGATGCGTATCTCTCTCGCTGGCAGTCTAGCGGTGAACGTCGATCGGCCACGCACGCGATATCACGTGTCGGTCCCCCAGGTTCAATGACGACGACCGCGACGATTGGCCGAGGCCACGAACGTCGCCATTCGACGGCGAATCGAGAGAAAGAGAGAGACCAACTCTGTTTCCTTTCTGCCGGCAGGTGTGAATCCGTTGCATGTCACGCCGCTGCCGGCAGGTACCTGTGCTTATTGCTGTCCCATCAACGTCGACAGCGATATCGAGTATCAGCTGTACACCAGGTACGTCGAGCGACATCGATCGATACTCCTTTCTCGGAGGATTCGGAAGATGCTGCCGAAACCTCCACGAAATGGAGAGCGATTCGGATCGGAAGTCCAATAGCGACACGATTTCTTTTTTTTAATTTAATTTCATGTCGCTTTGTCAAGGCTTTGCAGTTTCAAGTAGCATTAGTCAATTTGGGAAGAGGAGACGCGATTATTCGAGCCTCGCGGCTCGTTTTGTACAATTACCGAGTGTCGATAACTGTAAAAACGAGTCGCAAGGCTCAAATAATCGTATCTCCTCTTTGTGGACAATCCGAGCGTCAGTTGGAGAGACATTACTGTAATATTCATTAGGTTATTCTTGGACGAACGGTGCTTGAAATACGCTTTTTCTTTGCGGTTTCACGGCAGGCGGAACCCGACATGCGGAACGAAGTTAGACCCGGCGGACACGTCGTCATTGGGTGCGAGCAATTTCGATGATCGTTACCCGACAGTCGTCTACATCCACGGCTACAGCGAGAGCTCGACGTCCGGAAGCGCCGTCGCGATGAGAGACGGTACGTTCGCTATTTCGAGCAACCCTAACCCCTCGCGGCCTCCGCTATCAATTTGTTCAGCCGTCGAAAAATTTGCGAGAGCTTTCCGAAGTTTCTATGAGAACGACAGTGATTCCCAGAGCTCCCGGTTACAATTTATAAGAGGTACCCGACAGAAATTGATGGAACTGGGGGCTGGGGACATCGGCGGACGCAAGAATCACCGAGCTAGTCTAAAACATTCTGACAGTATGACGAATCGCGGGCCTGCATGAACTTCTCGTCGCTGTGGAAACTTCGGCATTCAGGCGGGATCCATATTCGGATCCGACACGCGTTCCAGGGTCTGTCGATTCGCGGAATGTTAACGCGGCCGTGTGGACAGCAGTTTCCGGGCTCCGATGGCTTCGATGAATTTGCAATAACTCGGCATCCTAGACACCCATTCTTAATTTCCCTATCGAAATTGTACCATTATTTGGTTCGGGATTTTCAAGCTCGCGTCATAACTTCCGGGCAAATAAGATGCTCTATGAGTTCGTTAATCTTCTATAAAAAATACGAACGTTAGAAATGCCACTTGTTTCATTATCGTCAAAAATTGCAAGGGCAATTGTTCGATCTGTGTAGCAAATTTTACAAGGAAAGAAGAAGACACAAACCTGTAGAACAGATCGAAATTTCTAAAGTGAACGAGTTCCAAAATGTTTTTCTACAAGACGAAGCCGGCGAAAGCTTGAAACAAAGAGGCAACGACAACAAATAGAAAGAAGTGGCCCCCGAATTATTTTGCTAAACGGCTCCAGGGAGTGTCAACAAATCGAGGGGAAGCTTATTGCGAGAGGCGAAATCATTGAAACCTCCGCCCGGGAGTCTCGGCAAACACTCGGGAGAGGACTGGCTGGCAGAATGGGGTCCGCGTCGGCGGGAAACTTTTTAGCCGAACGAAAACAGAAGAAAAACTTTGTCGAATCGATCCTTCGACCGCACTCATAGAAGTCCCGTTTCGTTCCAGTTTACCTGAAGCGAGGCGAGTACAACGTGATCCTGGTGGAATGGGCGAAATTGGCAGGCCTGCCATGGTACGTGACAGCGGTCCGAAATACTAAGATAGTGGGGACCCAGGTTGCCAAACTAGTCCGCTGGTTGCACGTCATGGGAGCGGTGTCTATGGCTAGCTTGCATGTGATTGGTTTCAGTCTGGGTGCTGAGGTCGCTGGGTTTATGGGGAAAGCCCTGTCGCCGCAGAAAGTAAATTTTCGAACAGTTTTTTGGCCATCGTTCCTTACCTGTCAGTGACCGCTTTATAGATTTTTCGGCATGGATTTTTCAAATTAGAAAGATCCTTCGATATTTTCCAATCGTAATATCTCTCTAATCGACGCTCGGATTGGGCACAGAAATGGATAATTTGGAGAGAGGAGATACGATTGTTCGAGCCTTGCTCGTTTTTTATAGTCGTTGACAATTCGTAATTATAAAAATGAGCTGCAAGGATCGAATAATCGCACCTCCTCTTCCAAAATTGTCCAGTTTTGTGCAGAATCTGAGCGTCAATTAGAGAGAAATAGTTGTCGAACGATTTCTAAACAACGATTGAAATATTAATCGATTCATCGAGTTACCGATTATTTTATCATCGATTAACGCGGTACAAAAGCTCGAAGCCGTTACCGAAGAATATCATTTTTTTTTAAATTGCCAGGCTATTCTCGAGTGAAAGAAGGTCACGAAGAGACTCGATTGTCAGTGTTCCGGTAGGCAAGTGTGTCGAGAATAAAGGGTTTGCATTTTTAGTAGAAACGGTCTGTCCAGGTCGGACGAATTACAGGATTGGACGCTGCCTATCCTCTGTACATGAATGCTGGTAGCGAGGGACACCTAACAGCAGCGGACGCTATGTTTGTAGACGTGATCCACACGGATGGTGGAAACTTTGGGTTTGCTCAACCGCTGGGTCACGTAGACTTCTATCCAAACGGTGGTAGACCGATACAACCCGGTTGCAATTTGCGCAGCGTGATTCGCAGGACCATATCACGATTGATCAATGAGTACGGTATGGTCCTTGTTGTTTAACCTTGGAACTCCTGAAATGCGGGCTCCCCGAAGCTACGAATCTCTCGGCTGGGGATGCTCCTTTCCCGATCGACGAATTGCCAAAATATTATTTAATATCTCGCATGATAAAAATGTAACTTCTCGAGCCTGCTGTTAAAAAAATTCTAAATCGATGTTTCGTTTTTGCAGAAAATATTACGCGAGCCAGTAGATAATTTTTATCGTGGTCTCTAGCTCGCACTTCGGGGTATCCAGGGTTAATTATTCAACTCGGTCGTTTTGCAAAAACAGTAAAAGATTCGTGTTTCCATTTCCAGTCGTCTGCGGCCACAATCGAGCCTGGATGCTGTACGCGGAATCGGTGACGAACCCTTTCGGTTTCCCAGCGAGCAGCTGTCCAAAATGGCATCCTACGGTTCGAGCGAACTGTATGTGGACACCGGACGTCCTGATGGGATTCGCGGTGAACTCCCGGGTCAGGGGGAAGTTCTACTTAAGAACGAACGCGGACGCGCCTTTCGCTAGAAACACAACCGGGTATGGGTTCAAGTGATCATCGGGGGATTGAGTTTGGATGAACCAGACCAGCAGCATCGATCTCACCGCCAACCACCATAGAACCAACCCTCCGAGCTTCGCCTGGCTCTCCCTTGTGGAAGACGCAGAAAGTTCGAGCTCGGAGTTCGTTTTCGCAGTACTCTTTCTCCTAGACGACTTCTAGGAGACCAATAATCGTGAAGCAGGATATTTATTACCGAAGTGGAAACTTTTAACAGCCGCAATAGAGCAAGACTGTAGTCGGACCATTTTACGTATAAACGAATGCGAAGGGCCTACCGTCCACGTTAGACTTTCGTTCGAACCATAGGATTCGACTCGATAAAATGGGAATTAATTAATTCTGTGAACCTAAAACTATTCGTCGAGATATTCTGGCTAATCTAATTACTGTATCGATATATAGTCGGACCATTTTACGTATAAACGAATGCGAAGGGTTTACTGTCCACGTTAGACTTTCGTTCGAACCTTAGGATTCGACTCGATAAAATGGGAATTAATCAATTCTGTGAACCTAAAAATATTCGTCGAGATATTCTGGTTAATCTAATTACTGTATCGATAAAAGAATGTACCACGGAGGAATGAATTCTCGACACAGAAATATCGGGCTGACCGTGCAGTAACGAAGAAGAATTCTATCTATCCATCTATCTATTGCTAAAGCAAACTGGTTTCTAAGCAATCACCCCGGATTCAGGTTCCACAGTTTGCTTTCGGAACGGACCATTGGCCGCGAGGGTGAACGCAAATTCCTTGAGAAAACAAACCGGTGGGAATAATTGCCAGTGGTCCAGAATATTGTTTCAAGAGTGCGAACGAACGATTTTGTTTACCGATTTATAGACAATTAGCGGACGAACTAGACTGTCAAAATTGTTCGACGCTTTGCCACAATTTCGTGGCGATATTTTCAGATCTTTCTCGTCGAAAAAACTGCTACGAGTTTTAAAAAAAGGGAAAAGTACCCGTCAATTTCCAGGGGAAAAATTCGCGTGCGTCGGGGTTATTTTTCCATAGAGCGAACCGAGCACGACCGGTTAAACAATTTATAAGCCTCCGGTGCCTGGCACCGGCGAGAATGAAAATTTTTCAGGCCGGGGAGTAAAAAATGTAAGAGTTCGAGGCTGGCCGATCTCCAATAGCTCCTGATGCTCTTATTTTACGGCGGCTCGTTGTGAATTCGGCAAATTCCTCGGCGTGTTTGCACGGCGGGAATCGAGGTTCCGGGACACTTGAAATTTCATGCGGAAAAACCGGATTTCTTTTTTCTTTTGTTATCCCGTAAATGCACGGTTCCCACAGAAATAATAGAACATTTTTGGCCGGTCATATCGGAGCATTGAATTCGACGTGAATTTCATCCAAAGCACCGTTCTACTTCGGCGGGGTGATTCTTTTGTTTTCGAACCGCGAAACGCATAGTCAAGAACATCGGACAATACTTTGGCCAGTGAATTTTATACGGAGGGCCGTTCGGACGAACGTGCGATAAGTTTTTCAGAGAATTAAATCCGCCAGTGTTTTACGCACTGCTCGGCATTCGATTGTGCTAATATGCTTCGTCGATGTGGTAGTACTTGGAAGCATTTTATTAATATATTTATGGCATCTGATCGCTATAGTCTGATCACTGTATTCACTGCGAATTTCACTGCGCCGAGCAAGATGTTAACCGTCAAACGTTCATTACCAAATCGTCGCATAATTCTAAAAATTTTCGTTTTGGATTTAGATTTAAAATGACTTCGAGTGCAAAGGCTTTTGACTTTAAGGAATAAAGAAGAGCATCGGGCATTCTCATACAAAAATAGTACAGTAAGGTCTCTCTAATTGACGCTCAGATTGTCCACAAAAATGGACTGTACGTCCAAATCGTTGGGGTCCGGACGAATCGTCGAGAATTTGTCGCGCGTATCGCGAAAACATTTCGAAAGATCGGATCCGCAGCGAACTCCGTGGCGTTTCCAATCCGTCGTGGCAACAAAGACATCCGCGAAGCCGGGGCTACCATTTTCCTTGTCCCTTTTGTCTCCCTTTGCCGCGGATACTTTCCAATCCATAACGCTCGGACGGGCATCCTAGTCGAGACAATGCCAGCCCATCCCCCTGCTCCGTCTTCTTCGTCTCCTTCGCTGGCTTTTTCCATATCCGGCATTTCCGTAGACACCCTGCGCACCATTTCATCCGAAAAAGCTCGACAGCCATCTCCTCCACCCTCCCCCTCGCTATCCCGATCCTCCTCGTTCTCGTTCCCGTTCTCCCGCACCCTCTTCTCTCTGTATCGGCTTTGAAAAACAACTGTTCCGAGGCTGCGAGACTCGCGTTATGAGTGTTTGCCTCCAATATTTGCACGCGAATGCATGGAATCGATGAACGTCTGATAGATCTTGGAAAGAATCCGAGGCTGGCTCGAGTGGCTGCTAGAGAACCCTCGAGAAGTCGATAGCAATAGAAGCCAGGAAGTATGATGCAACTCGGATGAATAATTCGTTCGGAGCTCCGTGAAAACTTGTCTCGTCGAAGTTCGTCTGACCGAGCGCCGATAGGGGATCCCCGAGGAGTTAAACGCGTTTCCCCGTGCCCTTCCTCGGCTCCGATTAATTATGGACCGTGCGGAGGAGGACGGTCAATCGGCTGCGCGAAGCACCGTTCGTTTTTTCGGGAGCCGTTCTTTTTCGTCGTGTCAACGAAGGCTCGGAGATCGACAAATTTCCATTCGACTTTCCAACGAGTCGCGCTATTTGCAAGATTCTGAAAAAGAAGAGCTTTTCAGCGTTTGCTGAACGCGATCTAACCCTTGAATCTCCTTGCATCGAATTCTTCAATACGCTTCTTTGCGACACACGCTGTTTCATTTTTTCATTTTTGATCGGTGCGCCGATGAAAGATGTTCGTGCAGCTTGGAAGAAACGAGATTTCTCGACACGCGGTGCGTTTAATCTTGGGAACGTAATTCCGCGGAGCGATGGGAATGATCGATGCCGCGCGACTGGGAGAGGAGAAAGCTTACGAGCTTTCGCCAGAGGTTGTCGCAATCTCGGCGAGAGAGCTTCGGGGCTCCCGGTCAGTCAACTCGGCACTTTCGCTAAAAAATTCAACAGCGACAGGTCGATAACGATCGACGACCTATGGCCGGGGTTATAGATGACCCTAGTCTTGAAAGACCGCGGGATTCTAAAGGCCTAAGCGTGTAGTACGCGCCACGCCGCGCGCGTTCGACCACATTTTTCTTACCCCCAGAAAATCAACCGGGTGTCGTGACCAGCACTGAAAACCCGCCGAACGCAATTCCTCGTGCCGAATGGCCTTTCCGACAGTCGCGATAGCGGCTCGATTAAGCCCGCGGATCGTTAACGGTTCGGCATTTACATTTTCCTTGGTGCAATCGTCGCCTAGAATTTCTATAGACTTTAAAAAGAACGGTCGCGTGGTCTCGGATTGCTGCGAAGGAAAATTAGTTGATAATTCTAGGCAATTTTTGCGTCGAACGACCGGAAGTTCGTATAAACAATCGCGAAGGTACGTTTTATAGAGGGAAGATTTTTGAAAGTCTAATTTGAGTCTGTGGAAAGGAAAATCCGCCCGGAGATAACATTATTTGAGATAACCTCTCTCTCTCCGTCCTCCGAAATTTCCATTCTCCTTCGATCGATCAGGTGTTCGGTGGCTCGAGACGGCTGCTATGTTTTCGCGAAGCCCGGTTTTGCCGGCATTTTGCTTGGCCCGGCGCGGCGTCGCGATGTCTAAAACGCGCTCGAGTGGCCCGAGCTGTGCTCCAACCCCGAGCAGTTCTCTGAGAATAACACATTCTTCTTCGCGAGAAAACAAAGGAGGCTGGACCACAAAAAACCACTCATCGATTTGCCAAGATCCGGAGACCGTCCGTGCAAAATGACGAGCGGATCGAGAAATTCGCGACGAAATAATCGCGTACATAATTTGTCTCGTCGTTTCATGAATTACGAAAACTGTAAAAACGTCTCGAGCAGCCCTGGGATCGATGATTTCTTTATAAATAAATATTTAGTGAAAAAATGATGGAGCTTCTTCCAGCCACGGCACGGTTTTCAAAGAATCTTTAACAATTTTTTGACCGCATTGCGACCTACTTTAGCGGTTGAAAGCAAACGCAAAAAGTTTCTAGTAGCATTTTTTAATGTCGAATAGTTTGCGGCGGTATTGCAAAAGTTAGCGTTTCTGGACGGGTCAGAGCCGATCCAGAGTGGTACACAAAGAGGCGGAGGACGCAAAGGGAGACGTCGAAACGGTGGAAATGAAATTGCCGCGAGATTAAACGTGAATCAAATGGGTGCATCGGGTTGCACGCCGAGGGAATACCTCGGCCAAGAGAAAACGAAGTGTATCATATCGTGATGAAGCGTGAGCCGAGAGCACGGAAACCACCGGAGGATCCTTGCTCTGATTCCAGCGACGTTTAACCCGTCAAACCTTCCTATAAATATCATCGGTGGCTCGTGTTCCATCTCAAAGCAGAGAAACGGACTCCCGCACCGTTCAAACTCTCCTTCCTCCGAATTCCCCTCTCCGAACCCTACTGGAATTTCAATCGAACTTTTCCGCTACCTCGAAAACTAACAGAGGCCTCCAGAGGTCCGTCGGGTGTTCATCAAAGAATGATTGAAAAGTATGGAACCAACCCCCTGATGAACTAAAATAATTATTCTACGAAACGTAGAAACGAACGTCCGTGTACGCATCCTTTCAACTGGACAAAGACGATGTTAAATTAAACAATTTCTTTTTTTTGTTGTTTCTAAAGTTGAATGCAAAGTTAGAGGGACCGGTAAAGGTCGCTCGACGAAGCTGTAAATTAAACACGAGGCTAACAGGACCGGTACCGATCCATTAAAAATTTTTAATCGAGTCTAAAGTTTCCAGGAACGCTAATAAAAATCTATGTCCTTCGTTCTCGTCCGGCGAGGTTAACAAAAAATCGTTGAACGAAACTTCCAATTACCAGGACCGATAAAAGTGGTTTAATACGATCGATGAAAGACGCTCGACGAATTTGAAATTAATTTCGAAGTTTCGCAAAAATCGGGGAGAAAAGGGGAGACTGGTACGAATCGCGAGAGAAATGGGACGACAGATAGTGGACGAGACGATGCTCCGTTGCGATATTAGCAGTATCATCGTTGTCGTCGATGATAAAATCGATGGGACCGTGCACCGTCTGGTCCGGGGTGGGCCGGTTGCATTCAAATGCAGTCGCGTACCGAGAATTTCGATCCCGTGTCGGTGTCGGTGTCGGTGCCGGTGCCGGTGCATTGTCCCCGCCGGAAATAGGAAACGAAACACGAAATGTCCGACACTCGCCGAGCCTTCTGCTTGACTCCGCTTATCGATTCCCCTTTGTTCCAGCCGGCTCGGATTATTATGGTCACGTCAGGCCACGGCTTCGTGTCCTAAACTTCCCTTTCAACCACCGGCAGACCCGTCTGCGTTAGGGTTGGGTCAACCGTGTATCGTTTATACTCCGACAAAATGTTCCGCGCGCGT